CTTTGGTCAGAATCAGAATCCAAAAATAAATCAAAGCAGTTTCAATCAAAATGCTAAGCATAACTTCAACTATAACTACAATTCAAGCAACAACTACAGTAACAAATTCAGTAGAGGCAATAGAATGGTGGCCAATGCCCATATAGAAACTACTGACGCTCAATCTGCTGAGACTGAGAAGTGTGCTAGTCATGACAATGCTCAGAATGTAAGTCTTACCCAAGAGGAGTATAGCCAGTTGGTGAACCTGCTACAATAGTTTCAATCAGGAGGAGGAGGAGACTGCACAATTGGAACCAACATTACATCAGGAACAACAAACTTTGCAGGTATGATAGCTTGTACTTCCTCAATTGACTTTGGTAAACTGTCATGTGAATGTTTCAAGAACAGAGGTGATCCATGAATTATAGATTCGGGGGCATCTAACAACATGACCTTTAACAGATCCTTACTAACCAACATAATAAGCTTGCCCTATCCCCTATTAGTTATACTTCCAAATGGCTACAAGGTAAAGGTGACAGAAATTGGTAGTGTGACTCTCACTTCAAATATCGCTCTAGATAAAGTGATGTTTGTTCCTACTTTTAGATACAATTTGATCTCAGTTCATTCTTTGGCCTCTCACCTCAATTGTCTTGTTGCTTTTGTCAAACATTGCTGCATACTGCAGGCCCCTTCAATGAAGAGGCCTCTGGTGATTGGTAGAGTGAAAGATGGGCTGTACATCATGTGCCCAAGCTATTTGAAGAAGAACAATACAAGCCCTGCAGTAAAGGACACTCATACACTACCTACCATTTCTACTTGTTGCACTTGTAACACACACTGTCCCTCTCATTCTGCTGTAAATATGACATTTCTTACCAATAAGTGTGTATATTCTCCAATTGTAAATAATTCATGTGCAGCTATTGAAAAACAAGCTTCTTTTACAAGTCCATCTTCTGCATTCCCTAGCATATTATCTCATTCTTGTGCTGAAAATAATGTAAATGTGTTGTGGCATAATAGACTTGGACATGTCCCCTTTGTCAAAATGAAGAACACTACCTCTATACCTACCAACTTTTCCCCCAAACAACCATTCAACTGTACCATTTGCCCAACGGCCAGATAAGAAAGACTACCATTTCCTTAAAAAACCAGTACAACCAACAGAATTATTGAACTTTTACATGTTGATCTGTGGGGTCCATATCATGTTCCTACACATGATAGATATAAATACTTTATAACCATAGTGGATGATTATAGCAGGTCCACCTGGACTCACCTCTTATCCAGCAAAAGTAATGCCCTTGAGATACTCAAGAATTTCATGAACCTAGTAGAAAACCATTTTGGTGTAACTGTCAAGTCCATAAGGTCAGATAATGGACTAGAATTCACCAGTAAAGAAGCAACTATGTTGTTTCAATCTAAAGGGATCATTCATCAGAGAACCTTTCCCTATACACCACAACAGAATGGTGTGGTGGAGATAAAGCACAAATACCTTCTTGAAACAGCTAGAGCCCTTCTCTTCCAATCCAAGCTACCTCTAAGATATTGGGGTGAGTGTATCGTTTGTGCCACTTATACAATAAACAGACTACCCTCCAGTTCTATCAACAATCTAACCCCATATGAACTACTATACAGAAGAAAGCCAAAGTACTCTCACCTAAAAGAGTTTTGGTTGCCTATGTTACCCTATTGTACCAATACCATATAGGGATAAATTCAATCCCAGAACAATACCTCATGTATTTGTTGGATATCCTTTCAACACAAAGGGGTACAAGGTTCTAAGTCTAGCCACTAGGAAAATCCATATCTCCAGAGATGTGGTGTTTAATGAATCCATTTTTCCTTTTGGAGTTAATATGAACAAATCTTCTCAATCATCTGCCCCCTATCCAATTCCCTTCATTGAATCTCTAAGTGAACAACCTTCTGACAATAAAAATGTCACACAGACTTCTGAAAACTTAAGTGATCAAGGGAGTGCAGACAACACATCTGATCCAATGTCACCTATACATGTAGCTAATCCATCACCTTCTGGAACACCTATCTCTTCACCACCTAATGTATCATCACAACACCACACTAAACAGACTCGTGAAGAACAAGCTCAATCAACAAGGCAGTCACAAAGAACACACAAACTTCCTATCTACCTACATGACTATGTTCATTCCCTACCTCAACTTAAAACAAATCATGCCTCCTTAAATGCTTTGTTTTCTTTGAATCACCATATTACCTCTGATCTACTAACTCCTGATAGTCAGACTCTTGTGAGAAATGTTCGTCATGACAGGGAGCCATCATCATATGAGGAGGCAGCCATTGATCCTGCATGGCAAGCTGCTATGACACAGGAGTTTGATGCATTATACTCCAACCACACTTGGGATTTAGTAATGCTGCCACCTGGAAAGCAGGCAATTGGTTGTAAATGGGTGTACAAGGTGAAGCACAAAGCATATGGTAGCATTGAGAGGTTCAAAGCCAGATTGGTTGTTAAAGGCTATACTCAGCAGGCAGGAATAGATTATACAGAAACATTCTCACCAGTTGTAAAGATGACAACAGTTAGGGCCTTAATAGCTACAGCAGTTAAGAAGGGATGGTCCATCTCACAATTGGATGTGAATAATGCTTTTCTCCATGGGGACCTCAATGAAGAGGTGTATATACAAGTACCACCTGGATTAGTTGTAGAAAAATCAGGTTTAGTTTGCAAACTGAACAAATCTCTCTATGGTCTGAAATAAGCAAGTAGACAATGTTATGCAAAACTGACTGAGGCACTGTGCTCAAGGGGATACACACATTCCATGTATGACTACTCACTCTTCTACAAAAGGAATGGAGATTCATCAGTATATGTTGCAGTGTATTTGGATGATGTGTTATTGACTGGGACTGATCAGCAAGAGATTGCACAGCTCAAGGCATTCCTACATGAACAGTTCAAGATCAAGGACTTAGGACAGCTTCATTATTTCCTGGGATTGGAGATTATGTATAAGGATGATGGGGTCATTATATCATAAAGAAAGTTTGTGTTAGATCTGCTGAAGGAGTACAACTGTCTGGAACACAAGGCTTGCTTTTCACCTTTAGATCCCACTATAAAGCTGAAAGCCAAGGAAGGGGTAATAGTGCAGGATCCCACTTACTACAGAAAATTAGTAGGAAAGTTAAACTTCTTAACCAATATCAGATTGGACATAGCATACAGTGTTCAACACCTAAGTCAGTACATGCAGAAGCCCAGGGAACCTCACCTAAAAGCAGCATTTCACTTGCTAAGATACCTAAAAATGATCCTACCTTGGGAATTTTTATGTCAAAGGATGGGGATCACACATTTAAGGCATATTGTGACTCTGATTGGGCAGCCTGCCCAGATTCTAGGAGGTCCATCACAGGCTATCTGGATCTACTAGGTAACAATCCTATTAGTATGAAGTCTAAGAAACAAGAGACTATATCACTCTCTTCTGGAGAAGCAGAATACAGAGCTTTGAGGAAAGTTGTGGGAGAACTGGTATGGCTAAGCAGATCATTTGAAGAACTGACTGTTCCATTTTCCTTGCCCATTTCAGTCTTCTGTGATAGCCAAGCACATAGAGGTAGACTGTCACTTTGTGCGTGATCAACTACAAGCAGGCTTAATCTCTCCATCATATCAGAACACAAACAGCTCGTAGATATCTTAACTAAAGCTTTGATTGGGATCAAACACAGTGCTACATTGGGCAAGTTGGCTGTGTTCACCACACCTCCAACTTGGGAGGGGGGGGGGGTGTTAAGATTAATTATGTATATTGATGTATATTGATCAGTTAGTTAAGAGTTAGTGGAGTCATTAGTTAGTTAGAGTTGACAGCTGTACCAATCAACTTAGTAGTTAGAAAGTTAGTTAGCCGACTTAGTTAGTGAATTAGCCCTTAGTTGTTCAATTGTATATAGTGGAGGTTCCACTCACTTTTCTCCTTAATTCAATTGAGAAAAATCTGGAAAATTCTCTCTTCTGTTTCTCTTCTCTTACTGTGGCCTTTCATGGCGTAAAGGTCACAACTCTCTCACCATTGAAGCTCACCATCGAAGCTCAGCAAAGCTTCGAATTACTGTTCCATTGATCAATCCTAATACATTTAGTTATTAAGAAATTACGGTTCATATAAAAAAAATAAAAGATAAATCTTTTTTCTTCTTATTGTAATCTTTTCTTTTACTTTCAAACACACAAGAAAGATATATGTTTCAGTTTGTCTCAGAGATCTCCTAAAAATGTGTCTTACCTATATGTTCTTGACATGCAGAGAAACCATAAAATCACCATCCTGATTTAGACGACCTCAAATTTCTTTTTTAAGGATAAGGAAGCACTATTTTCGGTTGGCGTATTTAACGGGCTTTCAGCAGACATAGGCCAATGTTTTCAGGCTTCTATCAGCAGCTTTAGGCCCATGGTCTATTTAACAGATTGTTGTACAAAATAGCCGGCCAGATTCATTGTTTACTTTTTTTTTTGCCCGGTATACATAGATTATATATTGATTAAACAAAGTTATACACACACATATATTCGTTGGCTATTTTTAGTTTAGAGATTAGGTGGACGACGATTGGGTTAATTCTTCTATTTAATTCAAATATTATCCCTATATGATAAATAAAGATGCATTTAATTCTCTCCGGAAGTACCTCTACGAAAAGTTATTTTGATAAAAGTAATTCTAAAAATGAACAATTATTAAAAGTTTAGCCAAACAGTTCACTACATAATAGCTAAACTGTTAAATCACATACCAAATTTCTTTTAAGTTATTTAATTGTGTAAATATTCTTTATAGTATCAGGTAGTGCTTAAATTGTTTCTAAACCTCCCGTAATTTGGTTTCTGTAATTTTCTCTCTTTCTTTCTTTTCACTCTTTTTATCCATTCATTGTTTTAAAAAAAAGTTATACATTAGGCAAATTGAACTTCCAGATGCTTTTTCACAAATTCACTTGATTAATTGATCAGTGAAAAAAACTTGCAACATACTTAATCAACTAAACCAACACTTACAATTTACTACATCTAATTAATTAACACAAAGCCATCTTTAAGCTGCTGCATAGAAATAACATACCTTACTACCACACACTACGTATTCTAATTAAACTTAGGCGACATAATTAACTAACTAATAGTACATAAAAGCATCACCAGAAATATTAGTTTCTTCTCCTTGGAATTGATCTCCATCTGAAACTGCATAACCTGGAAGCTGCAGCTGATCCAAGTTATAATTTATTTGTGCATTCTCAACAGGAGTTGGGTTATTCTCATGAGGATAATAATTAGCAAAAATAGAGTCATGAGCCATTAGCAACGGATGATGATAATTTGGATTATCATAATCATCTATAATATTAATCATGGTTTGATGCAGCCATATTTGAGTCTTGAGAAATTTGACATAGTGAATTGCTTCTTCTAACATGGTAACTGTGTCCATTTTTGAACCACCAGGGATTAAACTCTGCAAAATCTTGAAACGATCACTGATTCTATGCCTTCTTTCACGAGCTGCTACACTTTGTGGATCAGTTGATAGTTTCACAACTGATCTTTTTTTCTTCTTTTCTTTGTCATTAATTTTGCTTGAAGAAGAAAAACAAGTGGAATGTTGTTGATCCATTGCTATAACTAATTACCTCTATCTTCTCCTTTTTTTTAAAAGATATCTTTATGAAGTTTGAGAAGAGGAGATTGTCCATGCATGGTTTATATAGAGGAAGAAGATTGCGTTAGGTACGTGGGACAATATAGAAATATGGTCATCTGATTTGAGTCAGCCAATCTTTAGGGCAAGATTACGAGTTTCTTGGGGGTAAATACTAAATACCCCTCCAATTGTAGGGTCAATAGGGCAGCAAAAGAGGTCTGCCATTGAAAATTACCTAATATTACTGACAGTACGTAAGAGTATTTCAATATACGCAAGGATTGTTGGATGTTTTGCCTCATCTCCTCATTTTTTTCATTGTAAATATAATAGTATGACTTAATATTTTACACCATCAGGTAATTCAGAAATTATTTACAAGTAATTCTCTTTAAAAGTGAAATTTATAGTTTCTAAAATAACTTAAACCGTTACAACAAATGAAGGTAACTTAATCTATATTATGTTTCTTGCACGAACAACTCTATGTTGAACTTTCAAGAGGGATATCAATATCGACAACAAGAATTCTGGTTATGGCAGAGAAACCAAAGCATTAGAAAGAAACATACAAAAAAAATATTGTCTACAAAGAAGCATTCAGTAAGATACCATTACATTAAGTACTTTTAAATTATAATATATAATTATTTACTAACATGACTAAATGGATCATTTGTGTAAGTTCTAATGATATCCTTTCATTTTGATTAATTTTTTGGCATTTAGAAATGATTGTTGTATTATTATGCATAAAATTTCTCTCATTAATTAAATTTATTGTTCTTTCATATAAATATATGTTTAAACCACCACATGTCGTTATTAAGTGCAACGTACGTTCATAAATACTCGTTGTATAAAAGATCTCTATACTGTCAATGGAGACTAGTTAAACTCTACCAATTAATGCATATTAAATATATTTACTTGCAATTATCTTTTGAAGTGTACTTTTATATAAATATATTAATTGTCAATATATAAACTTAAACTCTTGCCAAAAGTATTATATCCACATAGTTAGACGTAATGTTTTAGGTTTATAACATGCAAAGTTATCTTTATGTCAATTTCGACATATACAGATACAAAAATGTCTCGATCAGTAATTAGATAATAGTCTCATGTACCTAAAATGGAGAAAAGAAAAAAAAAAAGAAAAAAAAAGAAGAGAGAATTGAAACTGAGTAGTCCATTATTTAACTGAGATTAGGTTAAATGAATAGTTTAGTGTCCTTTCATACTACTACTGGAAGGGACATGAGAAAGCACTGAATTCTAAGTTGCTACATATGAAAGTGCTACTGCCTAGCTAGGGGCCAAATTAAATCCAAAAGTTACTGTTCCCATTGCATTTTATATTTTTCTTATCGATGGTATTTAAAATTTACCAGAAATTTAAGATATTCATTTGACCCATGTCATGTATCTATTCATATGCAAGACACATGTCATATAACTATTGATTTGGTATAAATATTCGATGCGAGTAAGTTTTTACTTTCATTTGACATATGAAAAGATTAATCTATCCTCTTCATACAGAGAACTTCACTTTATAACTCGTTAGCAGAGTGTTGTCAAATAATTGTGAAAAGTCGAAAACGAAAGTTTTCATATCAAATGGAGTGCAAATTAAAGGAGCACTTTAACCGAAAATGAATATTAGCACGAATCCAAATTACACATACCAAAAGAAAAAGGAAGAGGAAAGGATACCGGGAGATTGGTTTTTAAGACTCGTTAGAAATGTTTTGAGCTTTACATGACACTTTCTATGAGAAATCGGTAAAAACTAACATAGAACAACACCATTTCCTCCTCACAGATGCTACTGAAATAGGGGTAAATATATGAACGTCGTTGATTATGTCACCTCCAGAACCAATTAACCTTTGGGGCTTATGTTTTGTTTCTGTTCCTAGGATTCATTTTGTTTGGTTAAAAGGAGAATCACTGTAGAATATCTTGTTGGATATAGTCAGAACAAAGTGTCTTCTTTCTCTTTATTAGCTCTTCTTTTTGAAGTGCAAAATTTGCATGAATATTAGTGCTGTGCTTTAATATTTCAAACTTCTTTTTGCTTTTTCAACCTAAAGTACTTTAATTAGCAGTAGTAACTCTGTTATTCTCTTCGTAGTTGACATAGTAGACTTTCCTTGGGAATTTAACCAAATCCTCTCTTTTGTCCATCCATAGCCAACACACCATACCCGTTAGGAATGGACAGTCCAGTCCCGAACTAAAGTGTGGTTCTTTTGGAATCAATGAACCATAATGTGTGAGAAAAAAATTGGGCACCATAATATATATAGCGTGATATTTCACCGTGCTATACACTAACGGTACGTTTGCCGTTAAGGTATAGCGCGGTACAATACCGCGCTATACCTAAGTATTGGGCCCACAAATAATTCTTCTCGGTTGAACTGACACACCAATAATTCAACTAGGTATAGCGCCCATATTCAAGGCGCTATACCTCAAATAATTGTACCGGACTGGTTTTTTTCATTATTTAAAGAGTTTCAGGATTGTGTAAAAATCCATTCAGGATCCTTCTAGTCTACTGAAATATTTATTCATTAAGTTATTTTACATTTTGTCATAATGTCTGAAGAGCGAAGAATTAGGGTTTCATTATATTGGGGGGGGGGGGGGGGTTTGAGGTTGTGTGGCGAATAACTCAGTAAGTTATAGTTGTTGTCCACAGTGTCATGTTAAGTTGCCACTTACAATAGAGTACGATACATCAGTATCGTTGTTATGTAAAAAAATAAGTATGAGCAAATGTTCGATGAATATTAAAGTAACCAGAAAATATCCGTATTCTGTCACTCCGCAAGGGGTTGTTTTTATGCTGAGTACATCGAAGACGATGAAACTCTGACAGATTTTTTGAGGACTCCGGATGAATACTAGGAATTTCTTGTGATAAAAATATTGGAAATGTACGTCAAGGCTGAAGACGTTCGCAATAATGAGGTTCCGCAAAGTAGGGATATCCCTCAATCATCGGGTGGTTATTTTGTAGCAGTTTTAGCCGAACAGGTTCCGGGTGGAAGAGTTTGGCCTGACCTAAACTTATCTCCACGGGCTAATGAGTAGCTAGGAAATAATTTCTCCCCTAGTTTACATAATCCACAAGCCGAGTGGTAAACTTCAATTTCCATTGTGTTACGATATTTATTTTTATGTATTGAATTTTTATAATACGAATATATTTCACAGGGGGTACCAGCCAGATATAAATTTTGCAAGTTATGAACTAACGCCCAGTTGGAATATGCCTAGTTTTGGTATGTTGGATCATGGTGGTCCATACGGGAGTCATCATCAATACGATAATGTCCATCATGGGATATCAACATATTATGATTTATAAGTGAAGTGATAAAGCTATATGAAAAGTTTGGATCAATTTGAGAAACTCATTATTTTATTGGTTGTGCAGTGAAAACGAGCAACTTGAAGGTCCTGTCCTTACTCAATTGCCCGAAGACGACATATTTAATCAGGATCTGGCAGATGAGCAGAGTCAGGAAGAGAATAGTGATTATGACAACAATGTCAATGAGTCTGGAGATGACTCACCCTTCCCTGATGAGGGTGATGATGAGGAGGAAGAGAACGTTGAACCTAATTTGATGAGGGAGCATATTACACCTCCCATTAGACCAAGAGTGTACGAGTCCCACGTGGAGTTTCATTCAAGGGAGATTCCCTACCTTGATCGTTTGCCAAGTATGCCGTATGTGGATGCCCTCACAAGGGATCTTGACAAAAGTCAGACATCAATGTGGGATGAATCTAGAGCAACTGTGCTGTCAAAAGGCATGTTTTTTGCTGATAAAGCGCGCCTAAGCAGGGCGGTGCGAATGTACAACATAAAAGAGTGTCGTGAGATCGTGGTTCATGAGTCATCTCCGGATGTATACAAGGTTATTTGCCGTAGATGTTTTACGGGTTGTAATTGGATGCTGCGTGCGAGGAAGCAGAAAACAAATATGTGGGTTGTGGGTAAATACATTGGCACCCGCAATTGTGAAATTGCACATATTCAGTGGGAATTATTTTAACTTGAATGTTGACTTGATTTCTCTTGTCTTGATTCCACACAGTGAAGCGTCTATAAGGTACAAGATCAGAGAGTTATAACATCTATCCACCAGGTATATGGGTGTACCATTACCAAAAGAAAGGCATTTCTAGGGAGCAAACATGCGTTTGAAATTGTTTATGGTAACTGGGATAAGTCCTTTGCATCTCTACCTAGGTACATGTTTAACCCCGGGACTGTTGTTAAACGGAAGCTTGAGCGGAGTCCGGGAATACCAGAACACATATCATGTGTTCTGGGCACTTAAACCATCCATTGATGGTTTTGTGCATTACCATCCGGTAATATCCATAGACGGCACTCATGTCTATGGAAAGTATGATATTAATTTGTTGATCGTCGTTGCAGTAGATGCTAATGGAAGTATATTTCCCCTAGCATTTGCTATTTGTGCCAATGAAAACCAAGAGACATGAACATTATTTTTGAACCACTTGAAGGAGCACGTTGTCAAACAACGTTCAGGTATTTGTCTAATATCGGATTGTCATGGCGGTATTTTAAGTTCTGTACAGAATTTGCGTATATGGCAGGAACCGTATGCCTACCACTGTTACTGTGTGAGGCACCTGAAGGCCAACTTCCAGAGGGCTTATCCGAACAAAGACTTGTATGATTAAATATGGATGGCTACAACTGATCACCAAGAGTGTATTTCAGGAGACGAATGGAATTGATAAGGCAGGAAGACCAAGGAGCCTATACTTGGTTGATGCGTTATGAGCTTGACAAGTTGACTTTGCATACGGATGGTGGCAGAAGATGGGGAATTATGACTACAAATGTGTCAAGTCTTTCAACGGGTTACTGAAGTTTGCACGTGGATTGCCTGTCACTGCCATGGTGCGGATGTCATTTAAGCAGATGGCAGAAAGGTTTGTTGAAAGGTCCAGAGGTGCATCCTCATTGATGGAAAGGGTT